TATATATATATATCTGCTTTTTGAGGCAGGGTCTCCCTTTGTAGTTCAGGCTGCCCCTGATCTATTAGCCCAAGCTGGCCTCGAACTCATGCCAATCTTCTTTTCCCAGCCTCTGGAAAGCTGGGATTACCAGCAAGCACCACCACTCCCGGCTCTATCTCTTCATCCTTCGATGGACACTCAAGGTTGTCCCACCTTTTGCTTGTTGTGAATCATGCTGCCAAGAACATGGCTGTGCAGCTGTTATTTCCCAACATGTTTATTTTCAAAACTGGGCAGAGGTGGGTAAGCACTGCCCCAGAACGCCTTCCCCACCTTAATGGGAAACGCATGTCCCCTCTCACAGGCTGGGCAGAGCCTCCCGCTGTTTTCCTGAAGTACCTGCCTGGCCCTAGAAGCCAAATCAAGGAGGCGGCTGGGAAGCAGGCGCAGTTACCCGTCCCTGCACACAGGGCAGAGACAGATGCTCCTCGAATCCCCGCGGGGCACTAATTTCAGTCCAGGGCCTCGTTCACGGCGACCTTCTCCTGCTATCCGTGACCTTGCCGAAGGAGCCGCAGCTCTGCCCTTGGGCTTCAACCCTCGGCCACCCGCCCCGCCAGCTGGGGTTACTGCCCCGCCCCGCGCGCTCTGCCCGCACTCACGGCGTCTCCTAGCAACGCCGCCGCCACCGCCGCAGCCGCCTGGGTCCCGCTAGGCTCTGGGGGCTGAAGTTCCCCGGGCGGAGCCGGCCGGCACCTCGGGCTTCCGGACCAGAGTTGTTGCTGTCCCGCCACCCGCCGGCGGGCGCGCCGGGGTCCCCTGTCTGGTGCGCCCAGGGCTGGGGTGCCGACGAGGGGAGGAGAGGTTAAGAGCAACTGCGGTTCAGGCCTGGAGCGCCTCCCACCGCCCAGACGGCGCGTCCATCTGGGCCGAACTTCGCTCGGCAACTGGCAACCGCGAGGCTTTGCTGCCGGGCTTCGGAGTTGCTGGGAGGCCCGCTTAACTCTTTCTCGGCAGGGCTGTTTTCCAGCCACCTGGCGGTGACAGCGACAGTCTGCTTTCCTGGGGAACCGGGGGTGGGAACGGTGAGGGGCGGGTGGCGGGAAGGAGGGAAGAGGAAGAGCGGGAGGGGCGGAGGGAGGAAGCGGTCCGTCCTCGCTCCTGGGGTGCACAGCAGCCGGGCGGGGCTTTCCACGAAGCTGCTGTTGTGGGTGTCACACCTGCCGCGGCCCTGGTCAGGCCCTGCCCTTCCCCTGTCCGTTTCTCCCAGTGCCACCCCCAGCTACGAGATGGACATAAATGGCATCCCCTTAACTGCTAGGAAGATCTGCTGGGTGTCACAGGGCGTCTTTAAGCATCCAACGGAGAGCTGTTTATTTAGCTCCTCGCCTGGACTGGGCCTGCCCACAGCGCGAGTAATACTTTCACCATTTGTGCTCTAAAGGCTGGACGGGGTTATGTGACAGGGAGGCCTCTGAGCAGGTGACACTGGACCAGGCACCTGAAGAAAGGGCGAGGAGGAACATCAGAGAAGAGCTCACCGGGCAGTGGGAGCAGCATGTGCCAAGGCCCTGGGCCAGGACCAAGATTGGTTCATCAGAGAATCTGCAGAGAACGTGGATCTGAGGTGGAGTAACCAAGGGACAGGGTAGTAGGTCAGTACACGAGGAGGTTTTGTTTCGGTCTGGGGTTTAATCTTGATGGGGAGTGGGGTTCCTTGATAATTTAAGCAGCAACTGCTACCAAGGATGGAGAGATCAGAAGTGGAAAGGGTTGGATTTCCATGAAAGTTGGCTGAGAAGCCAAAGGAATCCCGGAAGACTCCATGGCGCAGGGAGCCCCTGCCAGCTGGGTGGGTGTGGGAGAGGGGGCAGGAGAGGGAGCAGGCTGGGACTGTCCCATGCACCCATCCCTGGGGGACTGCCTGTGGCCTGGGGCCGGCAGGGCAGAGCCTCCCCTGGAGGTCTGAGTGGTCACCTGTGTCCTCTGCTAGCTCTCCAGGACACCAGCTCCAGCCAAGTGACTCCTTCACTGTCTGTCTGAGAAGTGTGCCCCGCCAGGCTCCCTGGCTGTCCCTACATGCCCACGAGTGTGCCCCGTGTCCCCCCCCTCAGCCACCGCCACCTTGCCTGCCTCTCACCTGCAGCCGGGGAGCCCCAGGCCTGGAAGCTGTGACCCCTGTGCCTGGTGTCCTTATCTGAACCCCTCCTGCATCCTGGGGTTTGTGAGGAGGACTGGGGGGCGCTGAGGGGACGTGGGGTGGGGTCAGAGCCATCTCCCATTGGCTTAGACGCCGCCTCCCCCAGGAACCCTGGAGCCGGTGTCCTGCATGTGCATGCCTGGGTGGGGTGGGCACAGCCTGAGGGAGGCCCCCCTTGGATGCACAGGCGTGGAATCGTCTGAGCAGGATGGGCTTTTCCCTCTCCAGGCACTGGGAGGGAAAAGAGGGAGAGGGGGCAAAGGAAACACCTGCCTCAGGCTGGCTGAGACTGGAGGCTGAGTCAGGATCCTCTCTGCAGAAGGTATTCAGGGAAAAGGCAAGACTACAATGTGTCTGGGGTCAGGCTAGGACCGAGGCTCACAGGTATCCTGAGGAAGCCCACCAGGTGTCCTGAGGGTGAACCTGGCTCAGGCCCTGCTGTGCCCAGAGTTGAGGTCTGTTCATAGCTGGGCAGGTTTGGAGCTGGGGATCCATGGACCCTGCCCACTGCATGGGGACAGCACCTGCTTCCCACCTCCCAGCCTGCCTAGGGACCTTTCTGAAATTTTCATAGCCAACCACCCCGCCTTCGATACTGGGGACCAAGACGGGTCACCTACTTTATTTTAAGTGCACACACAGCAGGGGTGTTCAAAGCCACCAAGAAATACCAGTGTTTGGGCTCAGCCATTGGGAGACAGGGCTTTGGGCAAGGGAGGAGCCCTTGGGGCCACCCAGTGTGACTTCTCAGGTATTTGGAAGGAAACAGACAGAACATGACTAAAAAAGGAAAATTTCCCTGTCCCATGTCAGGGACCAAGCAGCAGCTGTCTGTGTGCACCTGCACCCAGGTGTGGGCCCGCCCAGGTATACAGAGGGGCATGAGGACCCTGGGGTGGCTCACACCAGCCCCTCTCCACCCTGCCGCCCCCGCTTTCTGTCCCGTGTGCCTTCCTCGACCTTGGTCTCACGAGGCCTCTTCCGGAAGCGCGGCCGGGGCCGAAGGGGTTCCATGCCGAGGACCTTGTGGATCTGCCGGAAGGCCACCATTCTCAGGGCGTGCTGTGAGTGACGGGGTCTTATCAGGACGCTCTGCCAGGCTCTGCTCCCCGGGTCCCCACAGATGGAACCCTGGGGACACAGGGCCCATGTCTGTGCCCTAGGACCAGCCCTGTCCTGTGCTTTCTTGAACTGCTGAGCTCCAGCTGAGGTCAGAGTGGGGGCGGATTGTGGAGGATGGCAGGCGGGGGCTCTCCTGGGAGCCCCAGGAATGCTGGCTCTTCCTGCCTCACTGCAGGGGCCCCAGAGCCTGCCTGCCAGTGATTCAGCTCCTCCCATAAAAGTGGGACCCTGTGTGATTTTTTTTTTTCTTAGTGGAGATTGAACCCAGGGCCTTCACACTGAGCTGCATCCCCTAGCCCTTTTTATTTTATTTTTTAAATTTTGAGGCAGGGTCTCGTCAAGTCACCCAGGCTGGGCTCAAACTCAAGATCCCCTTGCCTCAGCCTCCCACACATGTGCCACCATGCCTGGGTCAGATTTTTTCTTATAAAAGCTTTCTGAACGAGGAAGCCATGGCTGGGGCTCGGAGTTTACAGATTGTGCAGCATGGCCAGCAGGACCTGAAGTCTAGGCCTCGTCCCCATGGCAGCCACAGTTCTGAGCTGCCAGCCCCACTCTGGCTGGTTGTGTCCCCACGAGCAGCCCTGCTGTCCCCAGCTGCCGCCTGTGCCAGGAGTCTCTGCAGGACTGCTGGGCTGTCCCCTACCTGGGCACTGGCCGTCACATCCTCCCGCTCCTGCTCCGTCATGGAGTCGAGCGCGTCCATCCGGTCTTTCTCACAGGGATCCTGGATCCCAGGTCCGTCTTTTTGAGGAGGAAGCAGGAACAGCAAAGATGCAAGGTCACCCTCATGAGGGTCTGCTGGTGACATAGGCCACTGTGCCACACCATAGAACCTCAGGGGTTCACGGCCCCCTGACCACAGGCCCTGCCACGCACACCCGGGTCACACCTGTGTGTGCTGGGCACAAATGTGTCAGGCAAACAAACCACGGGCACAGAGTTTTACCCCGGGGGGGCGGGGGCTGTGGGTGTGGGTTTAGTTCTGGGGACCGAATCCAAGGCTTTCTCACTGAGCTATATTCCCAGTCCTTTTTTTACTTTTTATTTTGAGACAGGGTCTCACTAAGTTGCTAGCTGGCCCATGCTGGTCTTGAACTTGCAGTCCTCCTGCCTCAGCCTCCCAGGGTGCTGGGATGAGAAGTGTGTCATCCTCTTCTCCCACTTGGCATCATCCCGTGTCAACAAAAGCTACTGGAACTGCCCTTTTCAGTGTCCTGTTCCCAACCACCCTAGGGAGTGTCTGTTGTGCCACTGCCTCCCTGGATTATAAACCGAGAGCTAGACAAGCTATCTGCTGCCTGCTTCTTTTGAATAAATAACAACATATCCATTCAAATCCATTTGAATCAGGTATCAGCCGGCCTCGTGACGGGGGCAACCCCGAGGGTGGACCCCTTCCTGCTCCTGTCGCACTTCTGTCCCCCGGTGGCCATACCGCTCTCTAGCCTGGGTGCGTCGCGATCACCTTCCTGCCTCTGCTGAAGTGCGCATGCGTGGACTCACCTGCCAGGAGCGTGCCCGTGGCCACGCACTCCAGGACCCGCCGAATGGCGTCCCCGGGGCTCAGGGGCCGGGATGCGCTGCTCAGTGCCTTCTCCACCAGGAGCTCCATGGCCTGGGGGACAAGAGGGACACAAGAGGGGACCTGTGCTCTCGGGGACCCCAACCAGCCCTTGTCCACCCAAAGCAGCTGTATCAGGGCTCGACCTGGGGAGACCCTGGGGGACCCACAGGCCCCTTGGGCACAGCCCCTCAATCCTCCCTGGAAGATGGGCTCCGGGGCCTCTGCAGCCCCCTGGCACCTCTGTGGCAGCTTCCCCACCTCTGTCCCTTCCGGTTTTCCACCCAGGGTGCCTGAGTGTCACCATGGTCCCTGGAACATTTAGCTAGGGTCACACCTACTCTGTGCAACAAGTAGCCTTCCTCTAAGACGCCTCTCCAGCCCAGCAGGTCCCTGTCACCCCAGCTCCTGAGGGCAGGGTGAGGACATGCATGCAGGCAGCCTCAGGACACTGTGCCGTGTCTGGGTGCTTGTGGGGTGGGGTGGGAGTCGGGGGGCCTGGGGCCTCACTGGAGGGGGCAGGGCCTCTTGTCTCCACCTCCCTCTGGGAAGGGCTCTGATGGGGGAACATCAGAGCTGAGGGGGCCCCTGGGGTCAGGATCAGGCCCAGCTCCCCTCTGATGCCCTGGCCAAGGCAATGGCCGCTTGTTCTCTGGTGCCACATTTGTGTGGTCTCTGGCCTTACTACAAGTTTGAGTTTTAGGTAGTGACAGTCCAAGGAGGCTATGGCCAAGGCCTGTCCCAGCCCAGGGCCTGAGGTGATCCTCGACCCTTATCCACCTGTCTGGGCTGAAGCTTTATGTGGTCCCTTCCTTGAGCACTAAGTGCTTGGAAGAGGCACAGTTTTTTGGTTTGTTTGTTGGAACCCAGGGCCTCCACCCTGAGCTCCATCCCAGCCCTTTCTATTTTTATTTTGAGACAGGGTCTCACTAAGTGGCTAAGTTGCCCAGACTGAGCTCAAACTTGCCATCCTCCTGCCTCAGCCTCCCAGAGTGCCAGGATAACAGGCCTGTGCCACTGTGCCCAGCTAAGAGGTGCTTTGCTTGGGGCGATGAGATCTGGCTTCTCAGCATAGCAGAACCTCCTGGGAGTGTTTTGGGGGCCCAAGCGCCCTGCACTGCCGTACCCAGGCTGGTAGGGCCCCCCACGTGGGCACTCGTTGGCGGAGGTCCCGCAGGACCCTGATGATGATCGCACAGGGCTGCAGGCTGCTGGCTCTCGCCTTTTGGGAGGAAGCACATGGTTAGCTCTCAGGAGCCTCAGCTGTGTGGGGTTTGATTTTTTATTATGAGATGGGAATCTTGCTAAGTCGCCCAGGCTGGGCTCCAACTTGGGATCCTCCTGCCTCAGCCTCCCAGAGTGTGGGGATGACAGGCGTGCACCACCTCGCCCAGCAACACCCACCTTTAAGAGACCAGCAGCCACTCATGAGGACCCTGTTTGGTGACATGGCCCGCTCTCCCCGTCCCCACCCTCACACCCCTGACCTGGAACCACTTGGCGTGGCGGAGGGCAGCCAGGGACTCCAGGCACTTCTCGGGGCTCAGGATGTCTGGGTCGGGCTGCGCTTCCTCCTCTTCTTCTGCAAGTAAGAGTGCGGTGAGCCCCAAGGCTGTGGGGCCAGGACAGTCCTGTGCTGCTCTGCTGCCTCAGTGGGTGGCTTGGGGCCTTGTATTTATCTGGCAAGAAAAACCACCACAAAACCCTCCTCTCCACAAAGGCTGTGCTGCACAGGAGCCAGTTCTCTGGCTTTGGTTCTGCCCCTCCTCAGATTAGGGTCAGCGTGGTGGCGCACACCTGTAAATCCCAGCACTCCGGAGGCTGAGGCAGGAGGATCCAAGTGAATTCAGGGCCAGCCTGAACTACAAAGGGAGACCCTGGGTCAAAAAAACAAAAAAAAGGCCCAGGGGTTTAGCTCAGTGGTTCTCTTGCCTGCCTCAGAAGCACAAGGACCCAAGTTCGATCCTAGTACCAAAAAAATAAAAAACCAAAAAAAAAAACCCACCAAAAAACGAAAACAAACTACAGATTTGGCCTGGATTCCAGAAACTTCCAAATACACCCTGAGATGTGGGCCCAGTGTGGTGGCACACACCTGTCATCCCAACTATTCAGGAGGCCAAGGGAGGAGGATCTCAAGTTTGAGCCCAGCCTGGGCAACTTAGGGAGACTGTGTCTCAAAATAAAAGGCGCTGGGGATGGAGCTCAGTGGGAAGACCCTGAGTTCCACTCCCAGTACTGAAAAAAAAGACAGAGAGAGAGAGAGAGAGAGAGAGAGAGAGAGAGGAGAGAGGGAGGGAGAGAGGGAGAGAGGGAGGGAGAGAGAGAGAGAGAGGAGAGAGGGAGGGAGAGAGAGGAGAGAGGGAGGGAGAGAGGGAGAGAGGGAGGGAGAGAGAGAGAGAGAGGAGAGAGGGAGAGAGAGAGAGGAGAGAGGGAGGGAGAGAGGGAGAGAGGGAGGGGGAGGGAGAGAGCAAGTTTTCGGTTTGTTGGGGTCCCAGGATGGAGCAGTTTCCCTCTGGGGCCGAGAATGTAACACACTGCCCTCTCTTGGACATGTGGAGGTGGCACAGATAGGTGTGTGTGCAGAAGGGGGTTTCAGGAGGCGGCTCCCCCTCCAAGGCTGGGAGGGGACACTGAGGGAGCAGCCACAGGAAGGGCGCGTTCCTGGTGGACCAGCTCCCACCGGCTGTGGGTTGGAGAGTGTTGGGCATCCCATCAGGATTTGGGGCCTCTTAATCTGTCCAGTCAGGACTCCCAGAATTCATTGATTTATTTTGCAGCACTGGGGATGGAACACAGGGTCTTTGCAATGATCCACACCCCGGGCTTTTTTATTATTTTATTTTGAGATGGGGTTTTGCTCTGTTGGCCAGGCTGGCCTTGAACTTGGCATCCTCCTGCCTCAGCCTCCTATGTAGCTGGGATGACAGGCGTGCGCCCTCACATCTGACTTCCGCTGTGTTTATTTTTCAGATGACTGTTAATGACATCTGATTATGGCTTTCCACTTTTGGACATTTTCAGTTTTGAAAGCAAAATGATCAAAACTGTACTTTGTGGCCCTCTGGTCAAACTCCCCCCGAAATTAAATACAGATCACACGGAGGGTTCAAGGATGTCTATGGTCTGGAAAACCGGCCTGGAGACTGTTCTAGAAGGTTCTGGAGCTGAGAAACCAGGGTGCACAGATGGGGCGACTACTCTGCTCTCCCAGGAGTGGCATCTCTGCCTCCAAAGCCCCCCAGCCCGTGTCGGTGGCGTGTGGCCCTGGTGACAACAGGACACTGCTCAGATCTGCTCACTGCAACCACTTCTGTGGCATTTCACCCTGTCAGGGGCCACAGGGACCAGCGCTGGGCTGGCGCAAGGGGAGGTGGCCGCAGTGTCCCCCCACCATGAGACAGCCCCTGCAGCCTGCCTCGGGCTCACTGCTGTCTCTGACTCACTTCCTCCGCTGCCCCAAACCCAGTTCTTCTTTTTTTCTTCATCATCTAATTTCTACTTTTTTCTGAGTTATTTTCCCAAATAAGAATAATCTAACCTACCCTTTGTTTATGCTTACATACGTAAAAAAAACAGCCTGGCAACAACAGATTTATGGAATTGACCTTAGAAGCTATTTGCAAATTTCAGATTTAATTTGTGTTTTATGCATTTTTTTTTCCTTTTTGCAGTCCTAACAAGATAATAATCCAACAAAGGAAAAAAAACAGGGGCTGGGGATTTAGCTCAGTGGTTCTGGTGCCTGCCTTGAAAGCACAAGGTCCCAAATTTGATACCTGGTACCAAAATAAAAAAAAAAAATTGAAAAGTTGGCCCGGGGTTTAGCTCAGTGGTACCACCACCTGCTGCCTAAGTGCAAAGTCTCAAGTTCAATCCCTGGTACCAAAAAAAAAAAAAAAAAATGGCAGAAAAAAAAAAGTAATTTTTTTTCTTTGGAAACATCTTTTCTTTTCTTTTTTTTTTCTTTTTTTTTGGTATCCGGGATTGAACTCAGGTCCTTGCGCTTGAGCAGCAGGTGGGGAAACCACTGAGCTAAATCCGTGGCCCCTGAAAACATCTTTTCAAACCAGGTGTGGTGGTGCATCCTGTCATCCCAGGACTCCAGAGGCTGAGGCAGGAGGATCACCATGAGTTTGAGGCCAGCCTCAGCTACAGAGTTCAAGGCCAGCCTGAACTACATAGCGAGATCCTACCTCAAAAAAACAAAACAATAGCCGGGCATAGTGGTGCACACCCATAATCCCAGCACTAGGCAGGAAGACTGTCAGGAGTTCAAGGGCAGTCTGGGCTACATAGTGACTCCAAGGCCAGCCTAGAATACACAGCAAGACCCTGTCTCAAAAGAAATGGGGGAGGGGGGAAAGAAAAGATCTCTTCAATTTTAGTGTTTGTCATGGACAAATTCTGGATAAATATATATATTTTTTGATACTGGGGGCCGAACTCAGGACTTTTTGCTTGCTAGGCAGGTGCAGAACCACTGAGCTAAATCCCCAGCCCATGGTTGTATATTAATACATGTATGGCTGTGGAAGTCTGAAGGGCATTTCATGACTGGTTATGAACATCTCTAAATTAATTTGCATTTGAGAAAATCACAATTAATTATCCTTTCCAGATCTAGGGGTGGAGTTCTTTCTTTCTTTTCTTTTTTTGCTTTTCCCAGGATCAAACTCAGGACCTCGCACTTGCAAGAGAGGCATGGTGCCACTAAGCTAAATCCTGGCCCTCTTTCTTTTCTTTACTTCATTTTGTGAAGACAAGGTCTATGTAGCCCAGGCTGACCTTGAGCTCATGACCTTCCTGCCTCAGCCTCCTGTGCCTTGGGATCCCAGCTCCCAAGACTTAGCTCTTGTGCCCCCAGGGGGGTGGGGGGAAGAGAGGAGCCACAAGGCTGTCACTGTGGCCCTGAGGATGGGTGTGAATGGCACCCTGGAAGCGTGAGTTGGAGGGGCCGGCCGCACCTTGGTCCGCAGAGGGGTCCTGTCGCATCAGGGGTGAGGTGATGGACACGGTGACCTGCATCCTGGGCTCTTCACAGGAGGAGATGACAACGCTGGCTTCGGGGTCAGAGGAGACTTCGTACTTGTCATCGCTCACCATCTGGGAGGTGCGGGTGCAACACAAGCCCCATTACCCCTGCTGAGGCTCACGGGCCACCGGGAGGGTGGGGGGCGGTGTATGTGCAGGGCCACACATGCTGGCTCCTGGGAGCTGCCCTGGGCTGGGCACTGCCATGGGACCCCACAGGGGCACACGTGTGTAGACATGTGTGCTGTAAGCGTCCTCCTTATGTAAAGGATGCCCAAAAATCAATAAGAGCAAGACATGTGGTCCAACAGGGGTGGAACGAAATGGGCAAATGAAATGACAGAAAAAGAAAACACAACCCTTTTACCACAGTGACAAGAATTATCCCCATGATCAGAGAAAGCAAATCAAAATTCATGGAGTGCCAGGTGTGGTGGCACACGCCTATAATCCCAGCACTTGGAAGGCTGAGGCAGAAGGATAGCTGTAAGTTTGAGTCCAGCCTGAGCTCCATAGTGAGTTCAAGGCCAGCCTGAACTGCATAGTGAGACCCTGTCTCAAAAAAACAAACACAAAAACAAACTATCATGGAGCTGGGCATGGTGGGACACGCCTGTCATGCCCACACTCTGGGAGGCTGAGGCAGGAGGATGCAAGCCCAAGCCCAACTTGGGCAACTTAGCCACTTAGAAAGACCCTTCTCAAAATAAAAAATAAGAAGGGGTAGGGATGGAGCTCAGTGTGAAGGCCCTGGGTTCAACCCCCAGTACCACAACAAATAAAAGTAAAACAACACTATGATGAGATACCATCATCACCTGTGGGCCAGACAAAGGTGTCAAGGCCTGTGCGGCAGCCCAGCCTCCCCATCCATGGTCACACCATCTGCGCTGCCTGCATCCACCCCTGAGCCCGGCCTCCCCTGAAATCTGCCTTTCTCCCACGCAGGGCTCCCCTGGGAGGTGCCCTGGGGCTCTGTGTACAGCCTGGGCGGGGCAACTCCAGCTATTCCACAGCCACGGCCATGTCCTGGGGACCCAGACTTCCTTCTCTTTGGAACTGGGCTGTCAACTTCTAGAAAGCAGCGCCCCCAAATTGGCCATCCCTGCTACCCCCATGGCACCCAGCAGGTCCTCAGGGGACGTGAGATTAAATCCCAGAGGTCGGAACATATCGCTCCTCTGCTTTGGACTCTGCGGTCTCCCTGAATCCCACCTCCTCTCATGGCCCTCAGATTCAGCTTGATCCAGGCCTTCAGGCCTCCTGCCCAGCTCTCCTGCCCCAAGTTCAGCCTCTGTGTAACGCTTTTATGTGCAATGCTGTCCCCCTCGGGCATCTCGTGGTGTCCTGACATCTGTTGGGGACGCTCGCCTCCCCTCACCTGTTTGAAGTAGCCCCAGTTCCCCCGGTTGCTCGCTCCATCCCTGAGGGCTTTAACTTCTCAGAGGAAGAACCAGAAGTGAGCTGGCTAACGCCTCTTCACCCTGGGGTCTGCCCAGGCCCCAGTCAGTTTCTACCTCTCACTGGACAGGTTGGGGTGGTGAAGGCAGATTCCCCAGAGTACATGGAGCAGACTCAGGGCAAAGAGACTAATCTGGGATCAGATTTGTTTGTTATTCTTTTTGCAGTAGTGGGGATTGAACCCAGGGCCTTTGCCCTGAGCTCCATCCCCAGCCCTTTTTATTTTTTAAATTTGAGACAGGGTCTTGCTAAGTCACTAAGTTGTCCAGGCTGGGCTGGAATTCATGATCCTCCTGCCCCAGCCTCCCAGAGTTCTGGAGTTACAGATATGCACCACCACTGTCACTGTTGACTTAAAAAAATTATTTTTTTTGAGACAGGGTGTTGCTATGTAGCCCAGGCTGACCTTGAACTCACTATGCAGCCCGGGCTGGCCCCAAACTCACAGTGATCCTCCTGCCTCAGCCTCCCCAGTGCTAGGATTGGAGGCTTGCGGCACCATGCCTGGCTTCTGCCCACTTTTCATTATGGTTTAACCTCTGCAAGGGTGGCTGTGGTTCTGAAGGGTGGGTGTGATATACATGACTGTCCCTGTGGCAGGACATTTGGACAGTTTCTCAGTTATAGCCTGACTTCTCTACAGCAGGGGGCCCTGAAGTTTCCAATACTCTCTCTCTGCAGCAATTTATAAACATGAACTCTCACCAGGCATGGTGGCTCACGTCTGTCATCCCAGCCCTTTGTGAGGCTGAGGCAGGAGGATGGCAAGTTGAAGCCCTGCATGAGCAACTTAAAGAGAGCCCGTCTCAAAATAAGAAAAGGGCCAGGAGTGTGGCTCAGTGGTGAGCATTTGCTTAGCATGTGCCAGGCCCTGGGCTCCATCCCCAGCCCTGCGCAAGTGTACACACACACACACACACACACACACACACACACACACACACACACAGAGCGAACTCTGGCTGGTTTCAGGTCCCGATCTCCCAGGGTTCCTAACATGGTGACCTCAGGGTCGCGCAGGCGCAGAGCGCGGCCTTACCAGGAGCTGCTGGGGCAGCCGCTCAGCGATTCTGCACAGCAAAGCACGCGTGGGCTTCTGGGAGCAGAGCAGGGTCAGCCGCACGTTCCGTTCGCCCCGCAGGACCAGGCCCTTGGCCAGGATGCCAACCCGCATGACACCCTTCAGGACCCGCGGAGAGGATGCCAAGCTGCAGGGAAGAGCAAGGTGTTGGCCTTGGGGAAGGGGCGGGGGACCCCGGGGGCAAGGGCAAGGGGACTGGCAACACCCTGAGCTACCCTATGCCTCCCTCTCCTCTCTCTCTCTCTCTGAAATCAAACCGATACAGCTATGGAAAGGACGCTCTTCAGAGGAAGGACTTGGAAAGCTAACTCCTTTAGCGATGATCAAATCATATGACAATTAATTATGAATTGTTTTCTTTTCTTTTTGGTACCGGGGATCGAACTAGGGTCCTTGCACTTGTGAGGCAGGCGATGAAACCACTGAGCTAAATCCCCGGCCCAATGTGACAATTAATTATGGCTTGAGGGACCTTCCTGCTCCTCAGCATGATGATTCAAGCAGATCTTAATGACATTCTGTTCTCTGATTACTCAGCCATCCTTCGAGGTGGGGGAAGTTGGATCAGAATCACACGTAGCTTCCTGGAGCTTGTAGTTAACCAGGTTCATGGGGTTGACTCATCCTTTGTGAACTGCATTCTTCATTGTTTGCTTTTTTTGTGGTGCTGGGTATGGAACCCAGGGCTCCCACATGCGAGGCAAGTGCTTGGCACTGAGCAACACCTCCAGCTCTTTGCATTCCTTTATTAAAATGTTGAGACACAGTTTTGCTAAGTCTCCTAGGTTGGCCTCCGATTTGAAATCCTCCTGCCTCACCCTCCGAATGCTGGGATGCCAGGCGTGCGTCACCATGCCTAGGTGACAGCTAGGACTTTCTCCTCTGAGGGCTGTGAGCTTGTAGCCGCTGCTCTGGCCTCTGTGGGCCCAGCAGCCGCTTCTGTTCCTTGCCTGGCCCTCCGCCCAGGGGTGTAGGGCTTGGGGGACAGGACTGACTCCACTACCTGCACTCCCCCAAGCTCTCAGTGTCCTCCTCGGTCATCAGGTCGGACACCAGCCTGAGGGCCCGCTCCACATGCGACACGGCCTTCTGGATGGCCTGCAGCTCTGCTTCTGTGGGGTAGATGGCCGCGTGCTTGTACATGACGTGGCGGTCATCGCTGGTCTCCGGCCGCCGCTTGGCCTGTGGGGAGAGGTGGCCCTCGTCTAGCAGGGCTGAGGGGTCTCAGGCCCATGGGGCATGGAGGGGCCTTGCAGGCAGCAGGGGGGCCAGAGCCAGGGAGCTTCAGAGCAGCAGCAGGATGGGGAGCCAGGGAGGAGCTCATGGCAGTCCTGTCTCGTTTCTAGGACAGAGGCTGTGGTTTGGCCCGCGGGGACAGAGGACTCCGGATGGCCTCAGGGTGGGGACAATGGGTATGTGATGAGGTCCCCACCATATGATGTCCCCAGGGCTGCGGGAGGCTGAGATGTGGGGAGGTCACACCAACCTGGGCCCGGGCTGCCGGTGTCTTCGGCCTGTCCGCAGGGGATGGAAGGGCCCAGGCAGGGGATGAGAGTGGCTGCTCCTCATCCTGGGGCCTCAGCTCCTTCTTCTGGTCCCTGTAGTGCACCTCGTGGGGCCTGGGGACCAGAGGACAAGGGGCTGTGAGGCCACCAGGAGACTGAGGCTGAGTGGCCGCTGCCCTGGGGACTGTCTCCAGCACCTCCCACCCATTTGCTGCCACCGGACACTTCTTAAATCAGGTACTGGGCGGAAGATCCTCTGGAATTGGGAGGTGCAGGAGGAGATGACAAAGTGACTCAGGGATCAGAGGTCAGCAGACAACAGAGGTCGGTGGACACAGGACTGCAGGCTCCTGCTCACAGCTAGGCCACCTCCCCAGTAGTCTGCATGGCGGTGACACTGAGCTCAGCACCTGCTCCACTGTGACCCCGCCCCAGCATGGGTGGGACAGCAAGGCAGTGCACTGCCTGGACATCCACGTGGGGAAGCAGTGGGGGCGGCCTGTCCTGGGGGTGGCACCTCAGCTCTGCCTCCCAGCGCTTTCTGGTCTCCTCCAGCTGCCGCTGCATCAGCTGCCGATGCTTGCGCGCCTGGTCCTCCCGCAGCTTCTTCAGCCGGCTGGGCCCCGTGACAAGGGGCAGGCTGGGGTCCACTTTCCTCTGGAGGGCAAGGTGGGGTCACCAACGTGGGGCAGCCCAGCCATGAGACAGCCTAGCTGCATTTCTGGATGGCTGGGTTTATATCCCTCCAAGTCTTCAAACTTCTTGCTCCACTTCTCCATCCATCCACTTCTCCATCAACCCTTTCCTCCCTTCCTCCCTTGCTCCTCTGGCTCCTGAGTGATGGGGCTGCGTACATCCCTGCCGGTCAAAGCAGTGCAGGAGGAGCCCAGGAGGGACTACCCACAGCTAAGAGAGTGGAGAGGGCTGAGCCACGGGCAAGACTGCAAGGTGGAGGGCAGCACCATGGCGGAAGAGAGTGGGGCGCGCAGGCAGGCAGGGCGCCGTGTGCGGTGGGCGAACGAATCCCCAGCAGAGGAGGGGCCGAGAGGCTGCCGCAGACCTCACAGCGCCCAGTGACCCAGGACAACATGCAGGACACTTGGGTCCAGGATGTACCATCCAGGTTTCAGTCCCATGGAGGTAAAAGATGCGCTAGGAGCCATGAACCAAGGTGTAGAAACAGAACCGGGGCCCTTCCCCACGCAGAGCCCAAAGTTAAGCCAACCGCGTGGGGCCCCTCGGGCGGCCCGGACTCCCCCTGCCGGACGCACCCGGTACTGCAGCCGGTGCCGCCGCCCCCGCAGGTGCAGGTCCTTGGCGTTGCGGTCGTTGAAGTTGCACTGGCACAGTTTGCAGCGGTAGCGAATCACTTTCCCTTGATCGTTGCACACCTACAACAGAGCACAATTGCCATCCGCTTCACTAAGGGATAGGCCTCCTGTGGCATGGTCCCAGCTGGTGTCGTTTGTCCCCGCAGCCCTCCTGACGCTGAGCTACATCCCCAGCCCTTCTTTTTTATTTTGTGACACGGTCTCTGTTAAGTTGCCCAGGCTGGCTGGAACTGGACATCCTCTTGCCTCAGCCTCCATACCGCTGTGATGACAGGCATGTGTTCCATTCCCAGCTTAGCCTGATCATTTTGCACATTTGTACAGGTGATATTCTGCCTGTGGTTGGGAAACTGTTGCGTGTGGTGGTGGGGGAGCAGGAAACTAGGAAGCTGGTCAGGTGAGAAGTCTTAGTTGGGCATGGTGGCACATGCCTGTTCACCCCGCTACTGGAGAGGCTGAGGCAGGAGGATTGCACATGCCAGCTCAGCTTGGGCAATATTGTGAGACCCTGTCTCAAAATAAAAATATAAAAGGCTGAGGGCACATCTGAGCGCTGACACTTGCCTCGCATGTGTGAAACCTGGCCCTCCGTAGCATCACAGCAGCAGCAGCCTCAACCTACCTCCTCCACGAACTCCGGGCCCACCGGCTCTGCAACCCAGCCCCCCGCAGAGGCTTCCTCGGAGCCCCTCCAGGCAGCCGTTTCTCCGGGCCCCTCCGACTTGGACTGTGCTGCTGTTCCCTCCTGGGGTCTGCTGCACACTGTCAGTGGCTCGAGAGGCCCTGGAGGGGAACAGCTGTGTTACTTGTGACCGGTTCTAGCCAGAAGCCACAGCCATCCACATACCCGCCAGGCCATACTGGAGTGAGAGCCACACAGACCTAGGTCTGACCTTGTCCCTTTCTCCCTTGTGGTGGCCATGGGAGCCACCTGGTGGCTGGCCTCACTCTTCAGTGAATGCTGTCAGATTCAACATGACACTAGTGTCAACGCTGACACCAAGGGGAAGGCAGGAAGAGAGGGAGGATGGCGGGATCTGCCCAGTAACAGGGATTGTTATGAGGACAGAGAGGGGCTTATGTAAGAACTGCTGTCTGCCATGCTGTCACACAGGCCTCAGTCTAGGGGACAACCTGCCTGGCTTTGTCACTAGTCATGGACCTGCATCACATCGGAGCTGCTGTCCTCACTGACCAGGACAGCCCAGGGCCTTCACACTGACCTACATCCTGAGCCCTTTTTTATTTTTAGACAGGGTCTTGCTAAGTTGCTAAATTGCCCAGGCTGGGCTTAAACTTGTGATCCTCCTGCCTCAACCTCCAAAGTGGCTTGGATGACAGGTGTGCACCTCCATGCTTGGCTTCTTTCAAAATAACTTGCAAAGGTTTCATGGTCTGAATAAGACCCTTAACCCCTCCTTTGTTCTCTGGACACGGAGGTCATGCCTGCCTACAAATGCCAATCTTGTTTGTTGTTCTTTTCTCAAATACACACTCCTTGACTTTGAAACAGTGTGTTTCCAAATCTGAGAAACCAAAGATGCAGATTCAAATTTCTGCCTGGCTTTGGGTCCCTTGTTTGAGGGACCCATGAATTGTACAAAATCTATAGTCCTTAGTCGATCAACTATCAAACAGTGGGTGGAGTAGATTGTATGTTAGCTCTATAATTGGGCAAATTTGTGGCACCTCGGCAGAGAGAAATCTATCAAAATTCCTTGATTTTTTTTTTTTTTTTTTAGAATTCCTTGATCTGATATTCAAATTCATACTGTGGGCTGGGGTTTGACTCAGTGGAGTGCTTGCCTAGCAGTTTTGAGGCCATGGGTTCATCCCCAGCACTGCAATTAAAAAAAAAAAAGTGTTGGGATTCAGGGCCCATGCCTGTAATCCCACCACTTGGGAGGCTGAAGCAGAAGGATCACTGTGAGTTGGTGGCCAGCTTGGAATACATAGCAAGACCTGTCTCCCCAAAAAAGCATGTTATTATTCAACAAATTATGCTGCCGAGGCCAAAAATAAAACGAGCATCTCCTCTGCTCAGCAAAGAACATGGAGATCCAGAGCGGAGACGGCTGAATGGGCAGGACTGGCTTGGAATTCCATCTCCACAGCTGGCCGGGCGGACTGGCCCAGGCGCCTGACCCTCCCTCGCCGCGGTTTTCCACCTGCACATTGGGACTGGTGGCAAGATCACCCGAGGGAGTCGAGGCGCAGTGCCGGGCAGTGCACACTGGGCTCTTAGCAGGGTGCTTGGTGTCTCCCTGGGCATGAGCTCCTGTGTACAAGCGGGCTGTCCCCACTCTGGGGTCCACAGGCGAATGCCCGCAGGCCCACGCGGGGAGGCAGGGGCCTAGGGGCGGAGCCTCAAGGTGTCCCCACAGCCGGTGCCCACAGAACTCATCAGAACTCACCCCAGCGCGGGGCAGGAAGTGAGGGGCCCCTGCCGCTTCCGTTCCTGCCAGTCCCCTCTCCCACGCGTGTTCGCAAAATCACGGGTCAACCCTCAAGCAAACATTCACGTCCACGCGTACAGCCACGCGCACACGGACCCACAGACCACGCCCACAGAGCCAGGCCACGCCCACACAGGCCCCGCGCACGCGCAGAGCACGCACCCGCGACGTGCACGGTGGAGGCCAGACGTCTCCGGGCAGGCTCGGGCCCGTCGGGGGCGCGCGCGCCGGAGTCTCCCGAGTCTTCGCGGGCGGCGCTGTGCGGGGCGCGGGAGCCGCTCCTGGGCGCGGGCTCGATGGTGGGAATTGGCTTTCCCAGCCTGGTGTGCAGCTTGAACACCTGGAACGGACGCCGCCGCGGTCAGGGCCGCCCTGGAGAGCCCGCAGCGCACCCCGCAGGCTTTGCCGGGCCAGGCCAGGGTCGAACCTTCTGGTGCCGGGCACCCCGGATGTGCGCGTCGTAGGCGTCCTCCCCAGTGCAGGACACGGAGCACAGGTCGCAGTACAGCGAGTTGCCGTCAGGCCTCTGAGCCGCCTCCTTCTTCCGGTGCTTCTGCCCGTCCAGGTGCTCCCGGTAGGTCTGCCGCCAGAGCGAGCAGGTCAGCCGCCGGGCGCTGTCCCCTCCCGCAGGCTGCGGGCCCAGCTGGCGGGAACCCATGGGAGACAGAGCCCGGCTGTCCCCACCCTCTGCCCGCTGGCGCCCTGGAGAGGGACGAGAGTCCCTTTATCAGACACAGCAGACTCAGAAGCCAGCCTGTGACGCCCACCTACTTGGGAGGCTGAGGCAGGAGGATCTCAAGGTTCAGTCCAGCTTGGCAGCTTTAAGACTTAACAAGACCGTGTCTCAAAATAAAAAAAGGGATAGGGATATAGCTCAGTACAAAGGTACTGAGGTTTAATCCTCAGTGCTGCAAAAAACAAAACAAAATTTATTTTATGTAAAATAAAAGACATCAGTAAGGCTTCTTCCTTTTTCTAAAAATAAGCCAGTTTCTTACAAAATCCGCTCTGAGGATTACACATTTAGTTGGGGGCAGGAGGTGCTGTAAAAGAAACTTCTGGCATTTCTGAATTGGACCTCAGGATCTAAAGTGGCAGAACAACGTCACTGCGATTACTTTTTAGAAAACTGCTAAGAAACTCAGCCATTCCAAGCGACAGGAGCCAGCGTGACTCACAGGCTTTCACATCCGGGACTGCTGTGCCCCAAATCTCAGCCTGTGGGGTCTCACCCGGAATCCCCACTGGGTTCTTGGAATCCTCAACACCAGGCAACCCACAACCCACTTTTTTTTTTTTTGGTACCAGGGATTGAACTTGGGTCCTTGCGCTTGCGCAGCAGGCATTGAAACCACTGAGCTAAATCCCCGGCCCGCCACAACCCACTCTTCTTGTGTGGGTCCCCTCAACCCCTGTGCCCAGGCCTGGGATGAACATAGGCAGGAAATCTACACCATGGCTCTATTCTAGAGAGAAAAAACATAGGAGGCAGACCCAGCACTCTGGGAGGCTGAGGCAGGAGGATCTCAAGTTCCAGCCCTCTCTCAGAAACTTGGCGATTTAGGAAGACCCCATCTCAAAATAAAAGAGGCAGAAACATGGACAGGGTGGAAGGCGGGCATCCTACTGTATACTCTAGAATATTTTTAAATCTTGAAACTTGTAACCCAGGGTATTACCTAGGCAGCAGAATAAATACACTCATGCACGCAAATTAGGAACAGAGCCTGTGGAATACAGCCTGGAAGGCTCCACACTGAGGCGCTGCCAGCAAGTTATTTCTGGGTGGAAGGATTTGGCTACAGGCGCCTCTTGCCTGCTGTCATCACCCACACGGGCTTCCACCAAGTGTGGTCCCATTTTTCTTTATTACTTACTCCTTTTTTTTTTCTTTTTTTCTCCAATGCTGGGGATGGAACCCAAGACCTCCCCCATGGAGAGCACTCACCACTGAGCTACACCCCCAGCCCTTTTAATTTTTATTTTGAGACAGGGTCTTGCTAAATTGCTCAGCCTGGGCTTGAACTTGGGATCCTCCTGCCTCAGCCTCCTGAGTAGCTAAATGATAAGTGTGGATTACTGCACCCGGCCTTCATAGCCCCTTCTAACTCAGTTCCTGAGGGACTTGCCCTGCCTGAGTCACACTCCATATGCAGGGAGGGGGCTAGAAGGATGAAATCATCTACATCCTCTGCTTTGATGGGCCTCGCTCAGGGACAGCACAGTAGAAGGGAGGCTGACTTTGACTTGGGAAAATCCCACCTCAGGGGCTGGGGATTTACTCAGTGGTTCCAGCACCTGCCTCGAAAGCACAAGGTCCTGAGTTCGATCCCTGGAACCAAAAAAAAAAAAAATCCCACTTCAGTGGACAACTGGAGAAATGCAGCAGTGTGACCTGAGGCTCTCCGGGCAGCAGGTGAGAGGGCTGAAGGCTGTTGTGTGGTCACAGGTTGCCAAGGACAGTGGTGCACACCTGTTATCCCAGCTATCTCGGAGGCTGAGGCAGGAGGATCCCAGGTTCAAGCCCAGCCTGGGCAGTTTAACAACCCAGCAAGACCTTATCTCAAATAAAAAATACAAAAAGGACTGGGGATGTGGCTCAGTGCAAAGGCCCTGGGTTTGAGTTTGATCTCCAGTACTGGAAAAAAAAAAAAAAGATGAAAAACTGGTCTTGTGTTTTGCCGAGACAAAGTTCTGAAATTATCTGTCCAGGAAGTGTGCCTGTGCCCTCACCTGGTTATTTCTGAGCTTTATGACAGCATGCCTGCCTGTCTGGAAGGGAATCCTTTTTCTCCTAGTTATGAGAATAGTTTTATAAGTTCATGGTAGATTACTTGATCTTTTTATTTTTTCCCCAGTACTGGGGATCGAACTCTGGACCTTGTGCTTGTGAGGCAGGCGGTGCCACTGAGCTGCACCCCCAGCCCAGGAACTCCTTCTCTCAGGTGTCTGGAGCGCCATCTCCCACATGGGCGCACGCACCGGCATGCACGGATGTGCGCTTAGGCTCAGCAGTGCCCCAAGCTCATCCGCCCACCCTTGGCCCCACCGCTGCCCGAGGGACAGGGCCAGTGAGGCTGTGGGGATGTGGGGTGTGCGGGTGGGGGCCTCTGACCTGCAGCCCGGCACAGCTGACCCTGCAGATGTGGCAGTAGTGGAGCTGGGGCTGTCTGGTGCCCACCCTGGGCTTCGGTAGTCTGCTGGGACCCCTGGCTGCCGAGGACACAGACGAATCATAGCCGGGGGAGCTCGGTCCTAAGAGGGAGAGAAAAGTGAGAGAGACAGGAAGAGTCACACATACCACCGGGTAACTGGGGACAGTGATGTGGGGCCTGCTCATCCCTGAGCTCCATCCCTGGCCCTTTCTATTTTTGTTTTGAGACAGGGTCTCACTAAGTTCCCCAGGCAGGGCTTGAACTTATGATCTTCCTGCCTCAGCCTCCCAGAGTGCTGGGATTCAGGTGTGCGCCGCCACACCCAGCTCTGCTGCTGTAGCTTTAATGAGGTTCCCCTGCGGACACTCACCTGGCCGGCAGGGTGAGTCCTGTCTGTCCTGGGAGCTGCTGCTGGCTGGTGACCGTCTGGAGCTGTGACTGCCCTGCAGCAGGGTTTCCACAGCACAGAGACAGGGAGGGGCAGCTCAGGGACATGGGTGACACGCCCACACCCCACTCAGCGCTCATGCTTCCTTTCATCCCCACCTGCTGGCCCGGCCCCCTGCTCTGTGAGTGGCCCTGCTCAGGGACACAGCGAGGAGCCAGGTGGACACACAGCTCTCCCAATGTTCATTCCCAGCAGCCTGCTGGCATTTACAGGAGGACTCTGGCTGCTGGGTGGCGTGGGAAGAGGGTGGGTCTGGAGGGAGAAATCCTCGGGCCGGGCCTTGTCGAGGAGTGGAGAGAGAGCCAGGCAGGGTGCACACACTGCCTGTAATCCCAGCACTCTGGAGGCTGAGGCAGGAGGATTCCCATGAGTTTGAGGCCAGCCTGGACATAGCGAGACCCTGTCTCAACAAAACAAAACAAAGAATGGAGAGAGGGAAGAAGAGGGTGGGTGCCAGGCTTGGGTCACTGAGTGGTCTCCATACCGAACCAGGGACAAGGTATGGGTGGCAGGAGCAGCACACTGCGGGTGGCCTGGTTGGCGTGGGGTCCGGGCATCTCCCAGGGCACACACAGCGCTAGATCCTCGGGGCCCGAGCTCTGGGCGTGGGAAGGTGGGGCTGACCAGCAGGGAGAGCCCCTGGACAAAGGAGCCCTAGCTCCTGGGAGCCTCCCGTGCTGGGGACAAAGGTCTGCCTGACCTCACTGTCCCCAGTTCCACTGAGTGCCCCTTGGAGGTACGAATGTGGCGTTTTGCCAGAGCAGGGGCTTCTCAACTAATTTACCTTTTTATAGTGCTGGGGTGGAACCCAGGACCTCTCACACGCTGGGCAGACACTCACTACTGAGCCACACCCCACCCTTTTAAATTTTGAGGTAGAGTCTTGCTAAGTTGATCAGGCTGGCCTTAAACTTGCCATCCACCTGCCTCAGCCTCCTGAGGTGCAGGTAGGATGACAGGTGTGTGCACCACCGAGCTGGGCTGTGACCCCAGGGACACAAGGCATGAAGGAAAAGGTACAGAGGACCATGAGAAGGGGTGCAGAGGGGAGCCCCCATGCTTGCCCACGCAGCACCAGCGACATGTCCCTGTAGCAGGTACCTGGGAGGTTGGGGCACTGGGCCCTGGTGGCTGGGCAGCAGGGTCCTCCCCGAGAGCAGTGTAGGTAGCCCCAGAGGCCTGGAGGGGAAAGGCCGAGGGAGGCTCCGTGCTGGAACCACAAATAGACACAAAAGGCCCAGCAGGTCAGATGAACGCTAAGCAGTATGCAAGCTGAACGTGTAAATCCCAGCAACCTGGGGACTCTGTCTACATGGCCGACCTTAACACAAGAGACCCTTCCCAAGCCTGGGGACACGGTGTGACCTTCCTTGGGAACCAGGTAGTTTTAAAGGCTGTCATAAAAAATAAAAAAAATAAATAAAATAAAAAAGTTTAAAAAAAGGGCCCAGGATTTAGCTCCGTGGTTCTGCTGCCTGCCTCGCAAGCACAAGGTCCCGAGTTCGATCCCTGGTACCAAAAAAAAAAAAGAGTTAAAGGTTGTCATGAATTAACACCAGCCCAGTAGGGAAGGGGGTATCATTGGGTCTGGTGTATAGATGGGGAAACTGAGGCACAGTGAGGAGCCAAGTCCAGGCATAAATCCATTCAGCTGCTTCTCAGATAATCTACTTTGAGCAAGTCTGTTCTCTCACCAAGATTCTTCCAAGTGAGCGGGACATGGTGGTGCACGCCTGTCATCCCAGCACTCAGGAGGCTGAGGCAGGAGGATCACTGGGGGTTCAAAGCCAGCCTGGGCTCGAACTTGTGGCAATCCTCCTGCCTCAGCCTTCTGAGTGCCAGGGCTGTAAACATGCACCACCACACCCAGTCTAAATTGAAAATCTTGTAAGTCGAAAAAACATTGAATACATCTGAACAGCTGAGTCCCCTGGCTGCCAGAAACGTGCTCAGGACATATATAATACCTCAGTGGTGCAAGTTCATCTTAGGCAAATCCCATCTGAGTTATTTATTTGTTTTTGAGACAAGATCTTACAAAGTGGTCAAGCTTGCCTCCAACTTTCGACCCTCCTGACTCAGCCTTCTGAGTAGCTGGAATTACAAGCATGTGCCACTGCATCCAGCTTCAGTCAGTAGTTTTGTGCCTTTTCTGCTGAGCCTTCCTGCAGCATTGTGTCCTTGTTTCTCAGCACCGGGCACAGGCAAAGCCACATGCTTTGCATGCATTTCTGCACAACTCCCTTCTCCCAGGCAGGGCTGCACCTGCAGTGTCCTCTCGCGTCCCCAAGTGGCCTGGCTGCCGCACTTCCGCTGAGCTCCTTCTCTGTTCCTGGCTGCCCCACACCCCACACTCGGGAGCTGAGGTGTCCCACGTGGGGCCTCCAGCCTCGTGTGGCTCCTGGGCCCACTCAGTGTGGCTGAGGAACGGAATTCCAAACTTCGTTTCAATTCATTTAGATTTCAATCCCTGCATGTGGCCAATGGCAGCCACGGTGGGTGCCAGAGATCCAGTACACCTTCATCAATGAGTCTTGTCATTAAGATGCCCACAGCTCTGTGGCTGTCCTGCAGACTGCCCGGCTCTGGGGCTCTGGGCAGGAGGGCTAAAGGTGGTGGCATCAGAGGCTTTTTTTTTTTTTTTTTTTTGTAACCGGGATGGAACTCAGGACCTTGCGCTTGTGAGGCAGGCAGCAGCAGCACAACTGAGCTAAGTCCCCGGCCCTTTTGTTTTTATTTTTTTGAGACGGGGGTCTCACTATGGAGCACAGTCTGGCTGCTGTGGAACATGCTGGCCGTTCCTCCAAAGGTAAACCATGCCTGGGCACAGTGCCACATGCCTGTTACCCTAGCACTCAGAAGGCTGAGGCAGGAGGGTTGGAAGTTCAACTTAGCGAGTCCCAGTATCAAAATTTTAAAAAGGAAATAAAAAAGACTGAGATATGGCTCAGCAGTGGGGCGCTCCTGGGTTTGGTCCCCAGTACCACAGGCACACGCACTGACCAAGGGGCGCTGGCAGAGAGACGATGGCCCTCACTGAGTGCTGAGCAAGCCTGTTTGAGGAAGCAGCCCATGAGGTTTGTCTCTAGTTGGGGACTTATGTCCCTTTTCAGCCACAGTATGGCACACGGGGCCCAGAGAGGACTGAGGGGAGGGATTTAACACTGGCAGCAGAGTGTGGCCACACTCAGCCACCATCTGACTCAGGTGTTGTATTGTTATGTTTTCATAAAAGCCCTGTTTTTGAGGATCCCATTGGTAACAACAGTTTTTATTTGTGGGGTTTTATTTTTGTATTTTTGAGACCAGATCTCATTGTGTACTTTAAGTTGACCTTGAACTCACTATGTAGCCCAGGGTGGCCTTGAACTCACAGGGATCCTCCTGCCTCAGCCTCCCAAGTTCTGGGATTACAGGTTCTCCCCCACATCCCCCTAGTTTTTATATTTTTAAAGGGTTGGGAAGAGTTCAAGGGGTAATATTTCACAATGCACAGAAATAACATGAAGTTCACATTTCAGGTCCAAAAATAAAGTTTTATTGGCACACAGTAGGCCCATTTGCTGCCTTGGCCCATTCTGGGCTACACAGGCAGGTTTGGTCAAAGTCTGTGGGTCCTGCCATCAGGTGACAATCATGTTCATGTGACTGCAGGCTGGGCGGTGATTTCTTCCTCTTGCAGGTCAGCCTGGCAGGACCCCTGAGAAGAAGGGCACACAAGCCAGGCCTGTTGAGGCCCAGGCTGGGGATGGGGATGGCATCACTTTGTCAGAGTCAGCTGGCCCAGGCAGGACAGGAAGACGTGGTAGCCAGGGCCACCAGAGACAGACTGTGTCTAGACTGCAAGAGCAGTAAGGTCACGGGGAGGAAAGAAGGCAGGGTGAGCTCTGAGCCTGTAGCAGGGGGTCTCAAGTGCAGGTGACTTGGCCCCCAAAGGGCCCTGGGCCATGACTGAGGACATCTGTGGCTGTCACAGCTGGGGAGCTTCTGGCCTAGAACAGGTGGTGGAGGCCAGGGATGCAGCTGAGCTCCCTGCAGTGCCCAAGATGCCCCACAGAGGATTCAGCCCCAGTGTCCGCAGGGCAGCTGCTGTAGCGAAGCTGAGATGGGAAGGACAGGGCTGGTGTCCCCAGGGAGGGGACCACAAATGAGGCCAGTTCTGGGGAACGAGAGGCAGTGGTTTGATCTGACAGCTGTTGTTTTCATCTTGAGGGCTCCAGAAGGCCCATGTGTTGTTCTGGGGTGGTGCTCCTGGGAGGTGGTGGGCCCTTTAAGAGGTGAGGCCTAGTGGGAGGAAGTTAGGTCACAGGGGTGTGGCCTGTGAGGGGATTTTGCTACCCAGGTCTCTTCTTTCTCTCTTTGCTCTGTGGTGGAGTGGGCCATTTTCCTCCACTGTGTGCTTGCCATGAGCTGCTGCCCTGTCACAGGTTCCAAAGCACCAGCACAAACCAAACAGGGACTTGAATCTCTGAAACTATGAGCCAAAAGGACCCTTTCCTCTAAGCTGATGACCTCAGGTGTTTGTTACAGTGACCAAAAGCGGACACACTGGGCAATGACTTGGAGGAAATGAAGTAAAGTAGGTGAAGAGAAAACAAGGAAGATGAGTTGGGCGTGGGGGAGCACACGTGTGATTCCAGCACTCTGGGAGGCTGCGGCAGGAGGATGGCAAGTTCGAGGCCAGCCTAGGTGACTTAGGAGGAGGAGGATGGAGAGGAAGAAGCAGCAGCTCAGGAGCAGAAAGATCCCCTCACATTCATCCAGGGAACATGGGATGCTCCTGGTGACCCATTCCACTGAGAGCTGTTTCCTACCCACCTTCAGTCTGGGGATGGAACCAGGGCTCCCACACAGTAGGCAAGCACTCACCATTAAGCTGCATTGTGGATCTTTTTCTGTTTTGAGCCGGGGCCTCACCAAGTGGTCCAGGCTGGCCTTGAACTTTTATCCTCCTGCCTCAGCCTCCAGAGTTGCTGAAAAAAGCTGGTGATCCCCTTTCACTAGAGCCCCACGGGCTGCAAGACTAAGAATGAATGGGTGTAGGGCACAGTGGGAGAGATGGCATTCTTGTTTATTTTTTGCTGTACTGGGTATAGAACCAAGGGACTCAGGCGTGCCAAGCACAAGCTCACCACTGAGCCACACCCCCATCCCACAACGGTAGTTTTAAAAGATTAAAATATAATCCATATACCATAACTTTTTTTCTGGTGCTGGGGGTTGAACCCAGGGCCTTTGCACTGAGCTCAATCCCCAGCCTTTTTAAATTTTTGAGACAGGGTCCAAGTCACTAAGTTGCCCAGACTGGGCTGGAACTTGTGATCCTCCTGTCTCAGCCTCCCTGAGTGCTGGGACAACAGGTGTGTCCCACCACACCCATGTGATGATTATTCTTACTGTGCACAGTTGAGTGGATTTTTGTGCATTCACAATGGTATGCACCCATCACCTCTGTCTGGTTCTAGAATGTTCCATCACCCTAAAGCCAGCCCTGTCCCCGTGAGCAGTCCCCTGTCCTCTCCTTGGCCCCGCCACCCCCAAATCCACTTCCTGTCTCTGGAGTCGCCTGTCCTGGGCGTTTCCTGTCTGTGGAGCCCATGCTGTGTCCCGTGTCTGGCGTCTCTCACTGAGCACGGCGTCCTCAGGGTCCCTCCATGCTGTGGCCAGTGTCACAGCCTCGCTCCTGTTTTGGCTGAGTCCTGTTCTAGAGTTATCTTTGCCTTTTCCTTTTCTTAAACAGCTCAGAGACTTGATTATATGCACTCTCCATATGTCACCCCCACCCCTTCCCAGCCTCTGGCAGCCGGGAATCTATTTCCTGTCTCCGTGGGTCTGTTGGGGACCTTTTGTATCCATGGCATCACACAATATGTGAGCTTCTGTGACTTGCTGATAGGTGGCAGTTTAAATTCTGCAACTAGCTGAGTCGCCAAGGGAGAGGAGCCAGCCCCTTCTACGATGGCCAGCAGTCAGAGGAACCAAAAGCTGGGTACCATGGCGCAGGCCTCTCATCGCAGCCACTCGAGAGGCGGAGGCAGGAGGATTGCATGTTTGAGTCCAGGGTGGAGAATTTAGTAAGATTTGGTCTCAAAATTTTTTTGTTGTTATTTTTTTGAGACAGGGTCTCACTCTGTAGTCCAGGCTGGTCTTGAACTCACTATGTAGCCCAGGCTGGCCTCAAGCTCATGGGTGATCCTCCCAGTGCTGAGA